ACGTTGCGTGAACCCCTCTAACTGCTGGAAATCGGTAACATGTGAAGTGTGGTTCCGTCCTACGGTCTATGTTCTGCGGTAGACCGTCGGTCTCGAGTCTCTCGGCGTGCCCCTTTATGAGGACCCTTTGAACATATGGATGGGCGGACGGTGTCATCTGTGCATGGACCGATACACACAAAGTGCACAATTGTGCCCTATTTGCCCCTACAGTATTCCTACGGGACTATACGTTGGCCATACGCATAGTGTATAGGAGTGTGTCTGGAAGAGTGCCCATCATCGGCGTCCACTGATGCCCAGTGCCTTCTGCGCTTGATCACGCGCCACCCTTATACGAAAGATTTGATGTTTCAGCCAAATGCTTTTACTGCTCAACAATAGCTGGAACCCACTGGTTGGATCATCTTCCTTCCTGACTTTTCTTGTGTGAATGTAATCATTTAGTGAGGACAAGGAGCAAGCGTAAAATAAATGTTTCCGACTGTGCAAATCATTGAGAAGACAGTCCCAAGACGAGGAAAATCATATGGAGCACTCGGAATGTTAATTGACTTTCTTCGTTAACTGCTAAGGTTCTCTTCATACGCCATGTTTGTACGTATGTATGCATATCATATGTATGTGGTGAAACTACATTCTCAATGTGCTACTCCCCTGGCAAATATATTCTTATTGCAATTCCCGGATGAAATTAACGAACACATCCTCAAGTGAGTCCACCCTTCCCTTTATTTCAATCATTTTATATGAATTCTTGGCCTTAGAGTGGATCCACCACGAGCAACCCAATAGCAAGCTTAATACTCTCGCGTTAGTCCTAACACACGAGAACATACAACTAACATAACTGACACGATCGTGTGCGTTGATTCTTGGCTTTCAAAGATTGAAGATCTTGATCCCCCAACCTTCTGATATTGTTATGGTTTTGATCGCATATTCTCAATGTCCAAGTCGCGGCGGTACAGTGCAGCAAGCATGTTACACAAGGCACATGTTTGGTCTATAGCTCCTTCTGGCAGCTGCTTCGATTCTAGTAACTACTTTTGTCTATGGCAGATTCCTTTTTATCCTCTACCAAGCATCTCAGAGTCCGCATCGCTTCATTGGATATTTGGCGTCTTCATTTGAGCACCCGTTTCGAGACCCACATTTATCTGCAAAATTTTCGTGAGTATAAAATGGGCTCGCCGTCCCTAACTTTACCAAAGTGTGATCGCTGTTCGTTACTCCGTGTTGTATTATAGTGACTAGAAGTGTATCACAAGGCGTCTTAAATTAAGCATATGGAATCAAGTGCATGTGATGTTACAAATTCACTGGATATTTTGATAGCTATATCTGGATTCCAAATGTGAATAGTGTTTCAGATTGTTTTCGATACTCTATAGTGGATTCCACACGAAAGTAATAACCCTCGATTTTATTTCAAATCTATTGCCATATATATACGACAATACAGACAATAATGAGAACATAATTTGGAAGGATTATTAGAATTACTTCCAAATGAACAACCTGAAAGTCAGAAAAAATTTCTACCACTCTCCGTTGAGTTACAATGTGTGAATCCATCAAATCCAATGGCATATTCAACCGTTCACATGTTGTTGTTTACTATGGATTCATATAAAACTTTCAATGTATTGTTATAAAAAATTTATATGTCAAAATAGTTATATTCTTTTACAGTAAAAAAAATATCTGAAAAACTTTGCAACACAGATTAAATTTCACAATTATAGTTTCAGTAAATTATTTCATATCAAAATTTCGTACGCAAGATCTCTGAAAATTTTCTCTACTAACATATGTTAATTCTTCATAAATAATGATACAGTTTTATTTGATTTAAATTTATTTTATATGATCATTAAGTTTTTTGACTCATGGAAATTGTCAATTTGTCATAAAATTGACACCTTATGAAAAGATTGGCAATTCATTAAGCATATGCAGTATATAAGAATGCAGAAATCACATATGTAAAAAAAAATTACTAAGTCATAAGATTTAACTCTACACATGTTACAAATAACATGTACAATATACAACAAGTTGTAATTTCATCAATCATGTAATACTTTGTGAAGATGTTTATAAAATCTAGAACTATTTGTAGATCTATATTTTTATAATAACAATGATGAAATATTGCGTGAAATATCCTTTTATAAATAAAAAATTTATCATCTTGACATACCTGACGTGAATTTTCATTAGTTTTAATTTGAAGAAAGACTTTCAGGTACAATAATATCCTGCTTAAGTCCACAAATTGAATCTAGACAAAATTTGCATGCTTAACCAAGAGTTGCATACTTTGGAGTTTCATAAAAAAAACCTTACGATCACAAGCGCGCTGAATTTTTACTCCATTGAGTTTGTGATTGTAAAGCTTCTTCCTTTCTTCGGCTTGGCACAATAATGCTTGAACTTGGTTGGAGTGATTATTTTCTTGTGTGTTTGTGATAGTAAAACTTCTTTCTTTCTTCGACTTTGCATGGAAATGGTCAAACTTGGTTTGAGTTATTGTTTTTTTTTTTGCGTTGATGCGTGGAAAGCTACTTTTGCTTTGTTTGGATTGGCTTGAGATTCATCATGTGTTTTGATTTTTTGGAGACAAAACCAGACAAGTAAGAAGTGCGTATCAAGCAAAAGTTGAGTGCATATCAAGCGCCTGACACTCTTCTGGACAAGGTCGATGCTTCAAGAAAGTCCCACCTTCCCTATTGGAATTGCATTGACAAACTTGCACTATTGAAGAAACCTATCAAAGTTGCAATGTCAAAACATCTCAATGAGTTTCAGCGATATGATATCATCAAAAAGCTAAGGAAGACGGATGCTCACAGGATATTATTGCACTCATAGTAAAAGTTTTGTATTGGATGGTTACAATGTAAGTGAAGAAAACATCAAAAGATGAAGAACAAAAGGCTTGAATTTCTAAAGCGATCCGCCTTCGTGTGTGATGAAGAAAAAGAGAAGATTATTTTATCTTTAGTTGATCGTTTTACCATAATTACGATGCTTTACAATGCTTTACACATAGATTGACAGCATGTGTCATGCCAATCTTCTTATTCCGTCATCTTTTGCAATTGCCGAAGCAAAAAAATTTACATTAGGTTTATCAATTATAGATTCTCAATTCAAGACATCTTGGCAATAGTTGAATTGATTGAAAATGCGTCAAAGGTTGCAAAAGATGCAGCTTCACGTAGAAGTGACCACGCATAATCATGTATTGTTGACAGATCTAGAGAAATTGTATGCAATTATAGCTCAATATCATTGTCAAAACGGCTACAATATGAACAAGATCAATTTTATTTTTTTTGCCTATTATAAATATCTAGCCTTCTTATGTCAAACAAAGACATATCAACAATTAGAAATATAAAAAAAATCAATTATTGAGTTTTTCTTATTGTATGTGCTAACATTGTGAAAACTCTTGAAATATCTTGCCATTGATTAGTAAATCAAAAGCATCAGCATGTACTAAAATTGCCAATGGCTTATTCCATATCTCAATCAACTGAAAGTTTGGATGAATGTTAAAACATGTTAGAAGTGGTTCAACAAAGTGGTTTTTTCAAAATTAAAAAAATAAACAAGACAATGCCTTTTGTTGTGCAAATTGCACAAATTAGAAACACCACTGCAATATGAGTATAGTTGCAATCCCAAAAAAGATGTTCAAATATATTAATATCAAGAATATGTTTGATTTCTATAAACAAGATGAGGAGACAAAAATTCAATTAAGATGGGAAGGATATAGATTGTGATGTGATGCTAGTTGATTGAGTACAAAAATTCAACTCATTTGCTCAATTTTGCAAGTTATGTCAAAAAAATTTGGCAATCCTTGTCACTAAGCTCTATCAAAAATGCATTTGTGAAAGCAAAAATAATGACAAGTGAAGTTGAAACAGTAAACAAGATGAAGGATTTAATGACAGAAGTTACACAAGCTATTGAAGCTTTAAATCTTTCTGTTGGACAAGAAGAGTTAAATTTTTTTTTTCATGTGGATAATGAAAACAATGAAATATTTGCAACCAAAATTTAAACTACGTTGAAGAAATTTTGAAAACTATGAAAATCTCTGAAGAAAATTTGGATGATGAAAATGATGATTTTCTTAACTCTCAAGATTAAGATTTGAATTTTGCGTTGTATGTAAGGAATTTGAGTCACTTTATAAGCAGATTGTTGATATAGAGTATCAATTGCTCTTAAAGGCGAACAAAAAATTTGATGATCTTAGACGATTGGTGCAATCGTTTTATAGCAAGCTTCAAGGTGTTACTTCAAGGTGTTGCCTTCAAAGTAACACCTTGAAGGCAATAACCTTTAAAACTTGTGCCAAATGACTATTCATGACATGTCGTTTTAAATAAACTTGATACTTGTTTTTGGGGAAAAGTAATGCATACTCATCCCGGGTGTGTAGTTAACTGGGAGGTTGATGTAATCATTCAATTTTTTGTACTTGAATAAAAATATGGCTAACAGAATTCTATTGATTGAAAGAAATTTCATAAACGATATTTGTATCATTCAAAGTAATTTATTCTTATATTAACGTAATACCAACATTGTTGTGGTTATTTGGCAGCCGCAGTACGTTTATGTAAAATATTATGTGATCATTGGAAACATTTAGATATCTTCAGCGTTCGATGTCACTCGATATACGACTTGATCTAGTATTTTAAATAACTCTGATATTATGTATGCTTTGTTTCAATGATAGTATAATTTTACTCTAAACCCCTGACTTTTACACTGAAGTTATAACTCACGATATCGATCTATTTTTTCTCATATTGTTATGCCTTCAAACCAAAGTACAAGGGAAATTCTTGTAAAAGCAGATCGATGAGCTCGCGATCAACGAAGCATGTAGAGGCCCAAATACTTCTTACCAAACAACAAGTGACAACAGTTGAAAGCTAACAGTCACCATCATAAGCTACCAGAAGAGAAGTAAGAACGAAATGAGAATTATTAAAGCCGTAGGAATGGCGAATGTACAGTTCGAGACTCCCTATCGGACTTTGTATTATTTATGCACGTATCATGTACAGTCTCCTAGTCACACCTATGCACGTACTGCGTGGGGGGCCAAGACTCTGGATCGAGCGCAATGACGACTGACCGCGGGGCGGAAAATACGAGCCGATCCGCAGTAAACAAATCCGACCGGAATGAGTACTGTACCGAGTAGACCGAATCTTTGACGTGGTTGGCAAACGACTGGTACAGTGTCCGTCACGAGTCCGAGCGAGAGCGCGCAGCATCGCCTCGGGGCGCATTCACTTTTGGCTCCTTCGCTGCCGGCAAATGATCCGCGCGCGACGGAACGTTCAGCGCCAGCGGAGGCGCGCCCCGAGCCGTTGTCAAGGAGCCAGCCGGACAGAGTCTAAATCACGAAACCAAGATTCAAGAAGTGCAAATGCAAATGAACGTCGGGAATGTGAACGAAAGGCCCGTGGACACGCACACGCGAGCAGAAATGTCGAGCTCCAATTGGGCGAAGAAGATGCAGAATTGAGGCCGCCGACAGGGAGAGATCGCGAGAGGGAGAGGGGGAGAGCCTGAAAGACGAAGGTCGTGGGCGATGGGGAGCTGTGTGCGTGCGTGGGTGTGACACTGAGAGTGAGTGTGGGTGTCTCGTACACTTGATAGATTTCGGAGGGGAGATCTAATGGGGGCAAAAGTGCGGAATTGGATAGGGGGATACATCCAATCGGAGTGGGAACTTCGTTTGGGTCAAAACCCACTCGAGTCCAATGTCTGGTTCAATGGAATTCGTCTCATTGGACGCAAAGACGTGGTTCAAACCTCACCTTCGTCTCGCGTGGGGGGTGTCACTTCTGGGGCTTGCGGGGTCCGCTGTTCCTCTTTTGCGCAACATGGTCAGACTGACAGAGGGACAATGTACGTGAGTATGTCAAGAGTGCAATTATGAATGAATATAAAGCATGAGTGAAGATGAGCCTGGATGGAGAGAAGAGAGAGAAAACCAAGGATCGAGAACAGCGATGTATTCCAGCCTTTGTAGATCCATATGCTGGAGGCTACTAAGCACCAATTTTAGTTTTCCGTATGAGTCACTCTTCCTTTTCTTTGTGTTTAATTCGTGACCTGTGTCCAAAGACGACTTCAGGTCGGCTCCAGGGGAACTTTTTGGATTGTGTATCGAAGTTTTTTCATTTCTTTGTGCGTTCTGAGAAAAAGTACAAACATCTCGTTGAAACCATGGCAAATTTTGCCATTCAGGACAAATTTGGTCAGTCGCGTCAACCTGTCTTTTTTGTAGCCTTTGAATTTTACAAGAGGTAGCCCGTGACTTTAGCACACCCACAATTTCTCTCTATACGAGAGAGAGAAAGAGAGAACAAGTCCTAGCCCAATCCCAATAACTAACAGAAAGAATCTTGCGAAACGGAATTTTGAATCTTTTCAACTGCTGCCAGATTGGATTGGCTGTGTCTATTCTCAGATGGATAGGATTTTTCCAAATTGAAGCTTGTCCAAAGAAGGTGGATCATGTGATGACCAGGACACTGATTTGTATCTACAGCTGAAAGGTTTTTTGAGTCAAGGTGAAGGTGCTAGAGCACATGCTAAAAGTTAACTAGAGTAGGTCACCAAACTTCAATCAATAATGAAGTCATCCCAACTCGGTATCAACTTCATTCTGCCCTTACCTCGACTATTGAGTTCATAATGTTATCAATTTGAGGCTGCTAATTTGATAACTTTAGCTAGATCGGCTAGTCTTATCTAGATTATACACTTTTTCCTCTGCAGTAGAAGACTCTTTCAAGTCTGATGGCTGCTACCTATATAGCCGACCTAGAACATGTGTTCGGCCGGGTCGGATGAAGCAGGGGTGGGAATGATTGGTCTATGTGATTCGCTTGTTTAGAATTCGCGGTCCCCTGTCAAATTCGACGGCCACAACAAGCCAATGAGGCTAGATAGAGTACTAGATAGCTGCAAGTGCCGAATAGTGAACGCGTTCAAATGAAAACAAGGACCTTGGGACTAGATAAATCGTGCAATCAAGGGAGGAAGAATTTCAAGTGCTTTGAGTCTTCGATCTCGTGGTGTCAGACGAGTCAAATGGCCATCTCTCCAGTGGGCCTGGGGTTTCTCTAAATTGGTACGTTGACAAAGCGGTGTAGGGGACTACACTCGCGATGACTCGAGTCCTGAAAGGTTCAATGAAGGAAACTTTGGGGTTTCCTTCATGGGGACGCTACTGTGATACACTAGTCTTGAAACGGGAACAGCAGTTGCGGTCCACGGTGTGTCTTCTGAAGATAGAGGTGATGTGGATCTGACAGCTCGAAAGTTGAATGTGCTTCTGAAAGGTAGAGAGAGACAGTTGAGGAGCTCGCACTTTCCAGAGAATAATTTTCTGTTTTCAACGCAAAGTCTGGATGCCTTTCGGACTCCTTGAGGCTATTGTAACCCGATGTGAAGCTCAGCAAGCCACTGGATATTTTCAGTACTTGCAGTTTGAATGAAGACGTTCGACTTCTGGTGTAGTAGATAGTTCTTCAAAGCGACTGTATAATATGACTTTTTGGGAAAACGTATGACAAAGAAAGTGGTGTCTGACTGTCCTCTGCAACTTAATTTCCGTATAAAGGTAAACTCTAGAGTGGTAGAAATTAGTAGAGTTCATGGCCTTCTTCGACGATTGGCTGGGCAGTATGCGCTTGCAGAAGTGGTTCGGAAACTAGCAGATTCGTCAACAACGCTAGCTTCGCACCCGGTTCAAACATCTCATAGAAATATGGCCAAAATGCTAGTAGACGAGACTGAGTCTTTTCCCGCAGAACTATGTCTGCTCGCCTGCGAAATCGTGCTTTTATGGAATTTGTTCGTTACGTAGCAGATTTTGGCTCCAATGGGTGGATGGGCTCGAAAGATCTGAGGTGAGTCTTCTCCACCTGTTCTGTACTAAATGTTGACTGCTGTAACGCAGTACGATTGGTACGGATCATGTGGAGACTCACCTCAGATTTTGGTTCAGTGACTGAAACATATACGGCCGAGGCTTCTTCAATCGCGAGTTGCGCAACAGGTGCAAGTAGAGTAAATCTCTTTCCTTACTAAGAGATTACAGCTGTCATGTCGTCTTAAGAATGTCGAGTTTGATGCAGTGGCAGCTTTGCGCCAGTTTCCAGCCAGATGCAGCGAAAACAGGTTTTTCCCTATCTCTGTACTGTATTTCAGCTTCCACTTTCTCTCATGTGCTTCATACGCTCGTCAAAAGTAAAGGATTTCTCACTTGCGATTAGCAATTAGGGATATAGACGATGCGGAATTTTGCTTCAGTGTGTATTAGCACAAAGGTGTGTTTCTCGTGAGCTACAGGTGCCATACTGCACGATCTGTATGGTCTGCAATTTTTTGGAACTTCGGAGTTGATCGTAAGTGTTATTTCACTGCACGGCGATTACCCTCAAGGACCATGGCCGAATTCCTCGTCGGACAGACGGACCTAGTGAGTCCAAACACGTAACTCGTATGAGAGAGTTCCTTACGAGTTGATAATGTTGAGTTACAGAAGTCTTTCAGTACCTCTGCGGACTCCATGTGCACGGGATGTAGACGTTGCGTCGGTCGATAAAGGTCCAGAGACTTACGTGAAATATCAACAGAAGTCACCAATCCACGACTCGAGAACTCACAAGTTTGCATCATCTCTATACCTCATCGCTGATCAGATATCTCCCGTGTCCTACACCGACACTGCTGCAGCAAAGCCTTTGGATCCTGGAATACAGTACGTGTTTATATCTCCAATGTAAGCAATGCAGACATTTCTTCAAGAATCTCGTATTTCGTCTTCGCATCTCAAAGGATGAGTTCAGGCCATTCGAGTTGTGGAAGGTTCATTCAAATAAAATTTGTCTTTGCTGACTGACAGTTTTATTGTCTTCTATGCTGCAACACAGAATTTCTTATAAACCTGGAGCAATTTCCACCGCCAAATCAGTGGAGATATAACAGTATGTCAATGAAGGTCAGTCATCTCACACAACATATGCTACCATATGAGTATTCATGAGCAGTTTAAAGAACCAGGCTCAGGTGTACCTTAGCTGATCCAATTGATTTTCTGGATTTTAAAGTCCAAGGTTTCCCTCAGTTTCAATTAGACGTGTTCATCCCTGTAGATCCGTTCAGGCAATAAAACTATGAAAATGAAATCTTCAAAGTACGCACCTTACAGCCAATGGAGGAAATAAGGTGCTAGCTGAGTCACAACTGGTGGAGAAGAACGCTACCGATGGACAGGCTCTTCTCTTTCCAGATACGAGTCTTCATTGTGCTTTGGATATCTTTCAAATGCTCCGGTGAGGATATTTTCTGTAATAAAATCTATGGAAGGTGATCGACCTCAGCCACTTGCAGAATCTATCACATGTACAAAGTGAGGATGTCAACGGCTAGGGGATTCTTGGTCTTTGGAAACGGATAGAGAATCCTCTTTGCGTGGCACGTTCTCTTCATTCGAATTGTTGTTCTGTTGTCTGAGAAATTCTTGTCCTGTAGCTGTGTCCTATGTCATCATTTACGTGCGCGAGTAAATTTGACTCGTTGACAAGAATCTCAGGAGCAGTTAAAAACGCAATGGAGCACGCTTCTATTGTCTGCCGCAGGACTAAGTTACTACGAGGCCGATAGAGCTAGTGAAGAGGCACTGTCTAAAGTAACGATCCTTCTGCGACTCACGCAGTCCCCATTGTCCAATTCTGAGCACTCCAGCTGGGTTCCGGGTCAATTACATCCATGAACAGAAGTAGATACATGCAAAATCTTGTTGTTTTTGTTCATGGAAGGGATGCAAGGCACTTCTGGTGCAGGAATAACTCTGAAACGTTGTATTGAAAAATGGAAAGACTTCTGTCTGCTGTTAGAACACTGACTCTCAGACAGCAATATCGCACCTCATCACGCATCCCTCAGCTCCAAAGAACCAAAAATCGTGTCAGATTGTGTTCTGCCTTGGAAATTGAGCACGATTGTGACTTCAAAGTCTAGCAAGGCAATTCACAGTCATGTTCGCAATTGAAGACTATCAATAACAAGCGAAGGTGGCCTCTGTACTTGCTGGAATACACAGTGGTCCAATGCGTTCCGTAGGGGTATGTGCCACCCCATGGCACACATACCACACTTGTACGAATTGATTACCTGCTCGATTGTCCACAAGCTCTCGGGAGCTGTATGTGCATGCATAGAGAGAGTGATGATGATGCTCGCAGTCGGAGCTTAGACTCAGGCTGTGTACAGACTTTGGCCCCGTTGACATCATAGGCTGAGAACCTGCCAATTTACGGGTCCGTTAGCTTCGTGAAACCTTCCTCGACCTGGGCACTGATTTGAACTGCAATGCCACTGACGCAAGCACTCACTCACGCACTCCTCAAGTTGTCACAAGCAGCCATTTCTGCAGGAGATGCTCCAGTCACTACTAGAGAACTTGAGAACTTGCCGTCGTGTCACTTCGTGTAGAACGTCACCGTCATAAAGCGCTTCACAAGAGCGAAGTATCTATGACGGCGATGTTCTACACGAAGCACGTGCAATTCGAACGTCCAACTGCAATCATAACCGGGTCCGGTCCCCTGGCCCTGCAGCCTCGAGCACCGCCGGGCATCGCATCGAAGACAGCAGCGGAGGAAGTTGTGGCGAACATCCAAAGGCATCCAGTGTTCAGTCGCGACCGAGCCAGGAACCAGGAACCAGGAAACAGGATTCCGAACGGATGAATGGCAGGCAGGCCTGGTGATCTGCGAGTATGCATGCAATTTGCAACACATGTCTCCTCAATTTGTGAGCACAAGTCGCAGACAGGCCAGGCCAGGCCACTCGCCGCGGCGCTAGCACTATGATTCGGTTTGTCCGTCTCGGCTGGAGATGGACATCGCGTTCTGATCCAGTCACTCCGCCCACCAGAGGGCGCAGGGCGCACAGCGCCCCATGGCCATCATCGGCATTCCGATGCCGGCCCAGGCGCTGTACTCTGGGCACCGGGCCCCTAATTATAGTGGCCGAGGTGTCCTGCGTCGTTCCTAGCCATTGTCCTCAAACGGGACCAGGCTTTTGCGCACCGCCGACTGATTGGCGACCTTTTCCCTTCGCTCGTAGAAAGCGGAAGGTTCAGTTCTCCAAGGCTCTCGACCCGTACGACGCTCGATCGACCAATTACGTCGGAACCAGACTGCGGGCTCTGGCTTCCGAGCCCAAGGGTTGGACGTTGGAGGTTGGACGCTGGCAGGCCGGCCATCCGAAAGAAAAAGCAGCATGGCGCTTTTCGTCTTTGCCTTTCAATGCTCACCGAATTCGCCGTTTTTCAGGCTCCTCTCCCTCCTCCTCATCCCTTCTTTTGGATGCAGCGCGTCAGAAACAGCACATTCTTCTGGCATTGTTGGCTCCGTAGCTTCTTTAGTTCAATCAGCTTGATTACGAGTGGAGGTGTCTGCATCATTTCTGCACATATGCCTGCAATAGAAGGTTTCATAAAACCAGAGAGAGTTGGGTGGCTTACTTTCTTTCTTCTTGTTCGCTCGGTTCTTTCTCTTCTCAAGTAAGTCAATGCAGAAGTTCGCTTGAGAGCCAAACTTTCGGCTGCGACTTATCAAACATTGTCACATGTAAAGGCAGTTTCAGCTTCTCATCATTTGCCATGTCCGTCGTGCCTACCATGTGCTCGGAGGATTTCTCATGAGACAAATCGTTCTCACCTTTTTCTAGAGTTCACTCACGAGCCGTGTAAGTGTGACATTAGGAGAGATAGTGTACGCTCAACGCCATTTTCAAAATTTTAAGAAACTGCGTGTCTAATTTTTAAAACTTTTTGCTTTTCCATCTGCCGGATAGTAAACTTATCCTCAGTTCAACGGTTTGATCACATACTTTGTGGGTAACGGTTTTTTTTAAATCTCGGTTGATATGGTTCAGAGATAGTTTTTAGAAAATTATATCACTGAGGTTGTGAGGCTTTCTTGGAGTAAATCACAGTTTGTACACATCAAGCTGAGTTATTTTACCTCTTTTGTCCGTGTATAATATTCACCGTTTTAGTTTGTTGCATTGGCTAGTGGCCAGAGTAGACTTTAACGACTGACCTGAAGCAATAAATAATTATACCACTTAGTAGAAGAACTGGAGTGTGTCTACAATTTCTAAGGGGAAAGAGAGATTCGGAGGGGAGATTCGAATCAGAGAAAGGGAAGTTGAGGGCTAATTCAAGGGCAGATCGGACACTTAGTCACATCGGTTGAGTATGTTTGTGGTCTATTATTCACCGATGGGCCCAAATGGTGTTGAAGCACAATTGTCTTCATAGGACTTGAAGTTACATAGAGAATCTGAGGGACATTACAAATTACTTTACTACTTGGAGTAATATGATCAGGACAGACAAGGGAAACACTTTTTCATCCCCAAGGCACCGACCTCATCATCTGAAGAAGCATCACTCGAAGAGCCTCCTTTGGACGAAACCTTCTGTATCTTAGGGCCCTTCTTGCAAACCTTCTTGTGATTTCTCCTGTGCTTGGCGCTGGGATGAGCGTTTGGGTACGTCCACCCACATTGCTGGCAAACCCAGATGTCAGTGGGATCATGAGGTGCCTTCGGGACACCGGCAGGTACAGTCTTCAGCTCTCCCTGTTCCCCAGCTTCCGGTTTACTGCTCCTTTCGGCAGTGGTCCCTACACTTTCTTTGGCTGAAGGTTCACTCTGTACAGGAGGATCAACCTTTGGCGCCTCAACTTCAACAACTTCAACAACCTTGTCACGGGAGTGTGCACCGAGCAGCGGCATAAACTCCCTTTCTCTCACGACAGGTGTCTCCACAGGTGCATTTTCCAATGCTGCAGAAGGAGTCTTACCTGCCCAAGAATAAAGGAAGAAAAATAAAACCCGATGATCACGACCCATAACTCATCTCTGGGTCAAACGCTTTTCAAGTTAAGTGTGATTGAAAGAAATTCCTTCGAGGTGAAATTGGAGAGTTATCACAGAGCCTGAAAGCTCCGACTACTCTCCACATCCCAGAGGAGTGATTAGAATCGGTTCTAGAGTTCATTTAACATGTGATTTCCCACCTGTGGCTGAGGCTGCATCGTCAGAATCTTCATCAGACGATCCTCCTGGTGCACGAGAAGCACCTGCAGCTTTCCCTGGACAATGCTTTTTGTGGTTCCTCCTGTGCTTTGCACTTGGGTGGGCATTGGGATATGTCCATTTACATTCTTTACAGATCCAAATGTCGTTCGGATCCTCGGGATGCGGAGTAGCACTGGAGACAACTGTAAAGGGACAATGCAAACACATCAGTACGCAATAGACTCAGAGATTCAGCTAAGACTGATACGACTCACTTTCACGCAGCCTTGTTGAGGAATCTTGCATCGTACTACCCTAATAAAATTGCTTTCATACCCGTAGTTACCAGATGCATTTATTTTCTACATTTTCTTCCAGGAGCTTAATAGCCTTAAGCTCCTACAGGAAGAACTCGAAAGACTGGAGAAAGTGGCCAGGGGACGTGCGTCACGAGGTTTCACCTTTCGGAGGGAGAGCTGGAACAGCAGAAGGTGATTCAAGGACAGCGGCTACGTCCTTTGCTTCCTCCGGCCCTGGGTGGGAGGCGACAGGTGCTTCGACTTTGGGTTCTTCCACTTTTGTTTCTTTCGTCGGCTCTGCTGTTGGTAGGTGGAAATCTCGGGAGACAGACGCAACTGGCTCAGTAGCTTCGACAGCTGCAGTCTGCTCTTTGGCTGGCGGCGGAGGACTCGAGTGAGACTCGTGGTCAGAGTCTTCATCGGAAGAACCTACATGGGCAGGAGCTGTAGCGGCGACCTTCAATTTTCCAGCGCAGTTCTTCTTGTGATTCCTCCTGTGCTTTGCACTCGGATGCGCATTTGGGTATGTCCAATCGCACTCCCGACATCTCCACGTGTCTCCGTCATCATGTGGCACAGCACTGCCAGCTGCTGCGGTTAGCGAAACACCAGGACGTTAGTGGTACACCTCAGTCTTCATTACATCAACTTCTGCCGCCACATGAAAATCGAAGCTGAAGGCAGTAGACCCCAAAGTGGATGAAATCACGAACTTAAGCATACAGGCAACAACAGAATGGTAAAAATTAAAACCATAGCCTAAAGCCGGCTACAGATCGATCTGTTAAAGAGCATTTGAGAACATCTCACGAACAACAAACACGAAATGGGTATGCCACATTTCCATCTGTACTGTATGTGGACGTTGAATGAATTTGATTCATTCGTCACTCCATTACAGCTCAACCGGTTCGAATGCTGTAGTTAAGAACAGGGCATATGCAGATCAGAGAAGAAGGCCATTAAGCAGTTCATTTCAAGCTCAAAAAAAGCGATGGATCATCTGCTTTTAATATCCATCGTCAGCTTTGACAGGAAAGGATTCCACCATTAAGAACTAACTGCATGTCCACACCGGTTTAAAAAACCATTCAACTTGTTGATCAGTAATGCATGCCGTCCATGCATGCCAAAGCTGCAAGCAAGGCCAACGTTCCAGCCTTCAGGAACTTGATCCATCATCATAATGAGGGGAAGGGGGTATTCTCGTTATTCCATTGCACAGCAAGATGTCTCTGCATCTTTCCGCAGGACAATCCACTATCTGCTTGAGTGTTTAGCACTCCTCTGGAAAGGATCCAAAGTTACAGTCTAGATATGAGATAAGTGCCTTGCCTTCGCTGTATATGAAAACTAGCTACATGCAAGTACCTTGCGAACAAGAACTCCGACCTTTGTTGGTCCCAGCGACTGAACGCTCAATAGTGTCGACGGAAAAACCTCTCGACAACTGTGAAGAACAGCGCAAGAACTATCTGCTTTCTCCACTTACCTGTGGGTGCTGAAGCAGCAACTATGGGCTCTGACTTTTGGGGCTCCTTCTCGACCATCTTTGCTTCAGGAGCAGGGGTCCCTGAAGCACTAGTATCCTCTTCGTGTTCTACTTTCGCAGCGGATTCCACAGGCTTGTCATTCTTCGCTACGATTGGTGTTGTTTCGACGGGATTCTCAACAACCACAGACGGAGAAACCTTGCTCTCCTGGGCACAGGCTTCAGCTTTGGGATCCTCACCGACTTGCGCGGGGATCTCTCCCTTTGCCTCCGATGGCACTGCTTCCTTGACCAGAGATCCTAAGTCAAACTCTCGAGAAACCGAGCCGTTCACTAATTCATGTTTAGTAACCTCAACTGGAGACGGATTCTTCTCGTCACCAGAGTCATCATCTGAAGAGCCGCCAGGAGCGGGAGCAGCTGCTGCGACCTTTCCTGGGCAAACCTTCTTATGATTCCTTCTGTGCTTAGCACTAGGGTGGTGATTTGGGTATGTCCACTTGCACTCCTTGCAAATCCAGATATCGTCCTCAGGGTGGGGAACGGCACTGCCCACTGCAGATGACAGACACAGGTCAAATCTATCCTTAAACTCGAGAGCACTCTAAACCCTGTAACAATCTTGAGCAACAGACATAGAACTATCTGCTTTGTCCGCTTACCTGCTGGTGTTGCCGGGGCAGCTGAGGTCTTCAAATTCTGGGGCTCCTCCTTGTCAACCTTCTTGGATGCAACATCAAGAGTCACTGATGCACCAGTCTCCTTCTCGGTTTTCACTTCAACAGCTGCTTCCGTGGGCTTTTCATCCTTCGATACGGGTGGAATTGTTCCGACGGATGCTGTGTCTTCGGCAGAGGCTTCTACTCTGGGAGGCTCAAGTCCTTTTTCGGAGGAATCACTTTTTGCCTCCACTGAAACCGGTTCTTTGGCCAGAGATCCTAAATCGAATTCCCGAGAGACCGAGCCGTTCGCTGCAGGATTGATGGCTTCACCTCGAGACGAATGCTGCTCATCACCAGAGTCATCATCTGAAGAGCCACCAGGAGCGGGGGCAGCTGCAGCCGTCTTTCCTGGGCAAACTTTCTTGTGGTTCCTTCTGTGCTTAGCACTAGGGTGGTGGTTTGGGTATGTCCACTTGCACTCCTTGCAAATCCAGATATCATCCTCGGGGTGAGGAGCAGCACTGCTCACTGCAGATGACATAAACAAATCAAATTTTTCATTATTCCCAATTTCGCCTTAAACCCTCATAAACCCCGAAGTATGAGAAGATTCGCTGAACAATTATGGCAGTCTCCACTTACCTGTGGGTTTTGCGGGAGCAGCTGAGGGCTTTGAAATCTGGGTCTCTTCCTTCTCAACCTTCTTGGATTCAGGAGCAGGAGTCACTGAAGCACTTGTCTCTTTCTCGGATTTCACGTCCGGAGCTTCTGATAAGGCCTTGTTAACCTCCGTGACGTCTGGAGTAATTTCGACGGGAGTCTCAATCACCGCGCTAGGAGAAACTTTGCTCTCTTGAGCAGGGACTTCGGCCTTAGGAATCTCAGCAACACTTTCTACGGGCTCACTCTTCGTCTCCGATGGAGTTGGTTCCTTGGCCAAAGATCCTAGGTCGAACTCCCGAGATACAGAGCCCTTCACTAATTCGTGCTTGGTGGCTTCAGCTGGAGCCGGGTGGTTCTCATCGCCAGAGTCGTCATCTGAAGAACCGCCAGGAGCGGGAGCAGCTGCTGCGACCTTTCCTGGGCAGACCTTCTTATGATTCCTTCTGTGCTTAGCACTCGGATGGTGGTTTGGGTATGTCCACTTGCATTCCTTGCAAATCCAGATATCGTCATCGGGGTGAGGAACGGCACTACCCACTGCAGATGACAGAAACAAACCATATCTTTCGTCATTCCCAATTTCGCCGTAAACCGTCAGAAATCCCGAAATTGTGAAGAGCAGATGCAGAAATTATTGCTGTCTCCACTTACCTTTGAGGGATGCGAGAGCAGCGGAGGGCTTTGAAGTCTGGGTTTCTTCCTTCTCAACCTTCTTGGATTCAGGAGCAGGAGTCACTGGAGCACTCACGGGAGTCTCAATCACCGCGCTGGGAGAAATTTTGCTCTCTTGGACAGGGACTTCAGCTCTAGGAGTCTCGACAACTTTTTCTACGGGCTCACCCTTTGCCTCCGACGGTAATGGGTCCTTGGCCAGAGATCCTATGTCGAACTCTCGAGAGACCAAGCCCTTTGCTGATTCATGCGTGGTGGCTTCAGCTGGAGACGGATGCTTCTCATCGCCAGAGTCATCGTCTGAAGAACCGCCAGGAGCGGGAGCAGCTGCTGCGACCTTTCCTGGGCAAACCTTCTTATGGTTCCTTCTGTGCTTAGCACTGGGGTGGTGGTTTGGGTATGTCCACTTGCACTCCTTGCAAATCCAGATATCCTCATCGGGATGAGGAACGGCACTGCCAACTGCAGATGACAAACATAGATTCAATCTTCAGATACTTTCAACTTCACTCGAAACCATCAAAACCTCTCAACATATGGGAAGACATAGAGCTATTTGCTCTCTCCACTTACCTGCGGGTGTTGCAGGAGTAGGTGCGGTCTTAGAACTATGATTATCGTCCTCAACCTGCTTGGTTGGAAGAGCATCCTTCACTACGGCTGGCGTTATTTCGACGGGAGTCTCAATAACAGAAGTCGGAGAAGTTGGTGCCTTAGCCAGAGATCCTAAGTCAAACTCCCGAGAAACCGAGCCGTTCACTAATTCATGCTTAGTGGCCTCAGCTGGAGACGGATGCGCCTCATCACCAGAGTCATCATCTGAAGAACCGCCAGGAGCGGGAGCAGCTGCTGCGACCTTTCCTGGGCAAACCTTCTTATGATTCCTTCTGTGCTTAGCACTGGGGTGGTGATTTGGGTATGTCCAATTGCACTCCTTGCAAATCCAAATGTCCTCCTCGGGATGAGGAACAGCACTGCCTACTACAGTTGACATTTCCTGGGCAAACCTTGTTGTGTTCTCTTTGGTACTTGAGAAGTTGATCAGGTAGCAATCCTTGGAATTCAGGTGTCCTCTTCTGAGTCAGGAACAGCACTGCCCACTGCAGAATACAATCACAGATCATTTTTCTATTAATTCGGGTATCGGTATCGTAAAGGAAGTTCCTTTGAAAAAATCAATTCTTATGTCGCATCGTATCACTATGATGTGGACTGACGGATAAGAAACAGGGGAATTAGGTGGAGGGCAACCCATCGCAAGGTTGAAATCAACCCAGATCAAGGTGCGGCAGTGAGCGTCGAGCAGTCAGAGATTCATCGTGACCAATAGATTCCAGTGTCGATCCACAACTAACCACGGGCTGGGTAGCTACAAATCTATCAGACGACATTACTGTCTATCACCAAATTTCAGCAACTATAGTCAAACCTGAAGGATCCACAACGAAAAGAGGCGCAGTACGCGGCAATGTGATCAGAAGAATAGAACACGATTGGACCGATGAGAGGACTGGAAATTGAGGTTACTTCGCTGTCAAACGAAAACTCTTCAAACGATTGAATGCCGCTAAATTTCCATTTACTAGAGCTTTTATTGATGATACCAGGACTGAATGGGCGTCCGGAAAAGCGCAAGCCTGTAGGAAGAAGTGCGGACCAAGAGGGGCACAAGTAAAGCATTGCTGAGAGAACTCGACAATACATTATCTATACTCAGTTCCTTGGCATGCACTCGGGTGATTTGACATGTCGGCCGAGAAGAAACGGCAAATCATCAGACTTCGCCATGGAGACAGCACGGAGTAGTAGAAAGGCAATGTTAGATGTCACAGAAGCTTAACTGAGGTCTCTTAATCATTGCCACAAAATGCACGAAGCAATGGGTACCATGGTCAAATGACAAATGCATTCGTTCAATGGGATTGGGTGGACTGAGTGCAAGACGATATACGGATCGTTCGACGGAGCATTGAACACAGGAATCTGAAGCATGAGCAGACACATGCAGACGATCAGATAGCGAAATTCCTGTACATCGAGTGTTCAAGGAGGAAGGACTCAAAGACTATGAATGGAAGCTTTCAGGAAGGGTTGTGATGCAACTGCAATACTTACAGAGGCCAGTAGCTAAAAATTGGTGTAAGACACGAGTGGAGATGTGAGCAAACAAGCGTTGCACTTGGAAAAACAGCTCTATGCTTGAACTCGCGTGTGTGTATTGCGTAGCGTAGGACTAGGGAGACTGAATTATCAAATCTGGATAGTTTACTGAGGAAAGAAAGGAGAAAGTCGAGGTTTGTTTCGCAGGAATATTTCGGGCACATACTAGCTCAGATTGCATCTTCTAACAGACAAACCAAAAGGTCCAAGTACATGATCACATCAACGAGACGAAAGATGGAATTTGTGGGAGCTGGTTCTGGTGACCCGAGCTGGTTTCTTAAGATCCACGACTGAGAAGAAATCCACAGCCATCGACAAAATTTCTGTGCTGATATATGTTTGTCGTAGGGATTACTTGGATACTATATCAGGTAAATGTAATATGGATATCCCACTTCAGATTTTTCCATGTTCCAAAGCGCAAAGCTTCAAGTCTCAGACCACTGAGTATATTGCTTGGAAGTAAAGAGTGATGTACAACTATGAAAGAACCAGTAATCTAATGCTAATGGATTCCATCCAAAATTCTTGAAGATGGGTGGTAAACATTGTAAAATGTTGACAAGAGTAGTATTCAAGGTCGAAATAAAAGATCCTTGAGGACTGAAGTGAATGACACCTGCCCTCTCGTCAGTATTCCAATGGAAAATGTAGTAATGTAAACATCGCCCGCGGCAAATTAAACGTCAATTGTTCCAAGTAGGCACCGATACAACCATTTGAATCACCTCGATACGTACTGAGAACGACCATCCAGAGAGTGACATGAACTTGAATTAGAGAGAGCTAACTTACCTTCAGAAAGTGCAAGTTGATCAGGAGAGGGTAGAGGATCTCCAGCAACCGAGTGAAGAAGATGGAAACTCAGGCCAAAGCTTTATCTAAAGCAGAACAGTCACGAAGTTTAATCTCTGCGCCTTTTTGAGGTAGTGCAGAATCTTGCTGGATCTAGCTCATCTATCTATATCCCAATCTTGGCACGACCTAATCTGATCCGACTCTTATCGAGCAGCAGCTACGTATATTGGGACGAGAGGATAGAAGCGAAGTTCCTGATGGTGATGGTCCATCAATACGTGCATTCTCGCATTGCAGTTTGTGGCGAGTGAAAAACAATGTGAATAGACTGGGAGAAAATGCTGTAGTGGGAATGGGGACAATGGGAAGGTGATAGCACAAGAGACAGAGGCACAGAGTCCGGGCAGCCAGAGGTCAACTGCACTCCACACTCAATAATGAAATGTTCAGCCTCCAGCGGAGCAGTAAACTGTAGAGGGGTGTGCGCGAGTGGCTACACAATGGATAAATATCCATCTGTCGGTGCTATAAAAACGTGGGACGACACCGAAGCATCAGAGTAGAAGGGCGTGACCATGTCGATCCACTGTTCCGATCGAATCAACACTTATTCTCTTGCATCATCCTTAATCTCCAAGTCTACCTCGGTGGTCCCCACTTTTTGGCTGCAGTCACGCGCTTCGGTGAGCTATCATATCTTCGTTTGCTTCTCCTCTCCCCTTATACGATGGATGTGATTCTTGCGTTGAAATTCAGCAGAATTTCCGATCACTCCAACCGATTTGTTGCCTCATTCATCATATCGGACTGTAAATAAAGTCTAGTAAATTCTCTAACAACCTGAAGAAAGTTGATTGACTGGCCCCATGTCAGTATAGGCCCGATTGCCCACCCTCTTTATTTCAATGCATGAGCGTGAATCCTCTTTTTCGATTTGTTTTATATTATTACGATATAACTTCGGGATGCTCAGCTCAGGAGAGCTTTTTTGTCCTGTTGCACTGCCAACTTTGAGGATTCATTGCGCACACCTTTTGCGCAAAAATCCGGCGGAATTACGCAGAGTCGTGACACACAATGGATGGCATTTGGCAAGCGCTGCGTTTTTTAGCTTTTTTGCTATTTTGTTCAGTTCTGGAAGGGGAATCTGTTGAAGGACCTGAGAAAATAAGCTTTTTCAGAATGATGCAGCTTTCTGTCGTTTGCTCAGGCGTGGCCCCCACAACGACGCTGTGCAGTCACGCGCTGCCCCGCTCCATCATTTGCCACTGCTTGTTTTCTGAAGCCTTGCATAATGTATCATTGATGGCTTTCGGAGATGTATCTAGTCAGCCTCCCCTTCAGGATCAACACGATCATAACTCACCAGTTACGAAAAGTCGTACGCTGGATTTCACCACTGGGAAAAAGTGATCGTATTATTAGATCACTTTTCGTTATCCTGTCCCAGGAGATTATTTTTTCCCTTCAGATAAACCCCGTACCCAGTGAAAGTGAAAGTCGCAAAACATTCTGCTCTACGACAGCTCTGTAATTCTGCATATCTTACACAGTTAGAAAGCCATCCATCGTAGACCTACTATGTATGACTCTCTTATTCCTCTTTCTGATACGAAGAAAACACCCAGGGATTAACGGGAAGAACTCGCGAGAGTACGTGATGCATTTGTGGTCTTCTGTTTGAAAGAGATGTTCGAGATGCGCGTCGTGGAACAGATGATCCGAAATGTCTGGAAGTGGGCTGCTGCGGACCGATATAGACCGTCATTTACTCCCTTGGTCTCCAGAGCGATTCTTGTGATTCCCCGGGAATCGACCAACTCGCAGTCCCATCTCGGATCCACTTGATGGCCAAATGCACCCGCTCGTTCACAAAGTAGGTCACGCGACGGATCGATCGATCGAACTCTGATTCCTGAACCATGTGTTTTACTTCAAGTCACATAATGCCCCGGCCACCCAGTGGCGATGACTCCCACACCCGGCAGCAAATTAGGGTACTTCTCATTCCCCTGAGCTTCATCGTGCAAGATGCATTTCCCCATGAGTCAGTCAGTTCCCAGAGCGAGCGCAGTCAAAAGCGCTGCAGAGAACTCAGAAGTCCCGCACGATCATGCGGAACGGAAATGAATCCGAGCCCCGCCTCCTCATGAGCCACGGACAAAGTGTTCATGTGTTCCAACCCCAGACATGGCGGAACTCGCACTCTCATTCGGCACTCGCCCGCCAGGGCACACTTTCAAAATCGCGCCAACGTTCGGCTACCCTTCCAAATTAGCGGCCGCGGCAACGGCTAGGGGCGAAGGAAAGCCGAGGCGATGCTACGCTGGCATTTTTGAGAGTTGGTCACGGGGTACTGTTCTCGACTAGGAAAAATACGTATTTGTGAGGTGCCCGAGAGCTACCGTGTCGTAGCGTCACCACGACATTCACCACACGTGGAGCGTCATCATCAAGGAGACCACGTACATCTCCTCGTCGCATGTGCAGCTACTCCGCAGGTCTGCTGCTGTAGATTGCGAATTCTTTCGATTCCATAGACCCTTTTCCCAAAGTAGTGTGATTCACACTATCCTATCCTTCTTCCAAGATACTTGCAAATAGAAGCATGAGATTTGGTAAATACTCAAATACGCAGTATTTGAGTTCGCACTGTAGTTAGGTGGGTCCCCCATTTATTTATGATTCCCTCATTTCAGGTTAGACTTTACCATTGTGAAAAACTAAACCCACTTCTGGTACCCGAACTTTTACGAAAGATAGAAGATACTAAGACTTGGTGCGGTCTTCAAGACGTACAAGTACAAACCCGAATGGGGCTTGGCCCCGATGACAAAAACGAATGTTGATTTCTATCTCTTTCGAAAATGCACTAGTTTTCCCACTGGACTCGCGTGACGTTTTCCTTCGATCCAATTAATGCAGTATATATTTATCCACTCTTTACCCATTTTTTGTGCATGCAGATAATAATTGAGATATATTGATGGATAAGTTTGATTTACTTAATGTCATACATGTTATACGACCGATTGCTAACATCTATTTCCTCTACTGCACTCTCACAAATCAGGTTGTAAAAGTTCTATAAAACTTTCATTACGAGCACTTTTATAGAAACTAGCATTTCTGTCCACATGTGGGATAAGCATGTAACTTGTTCTGTGTAGTTCATGTATCTAGATGTATCCTAATTGCATTAAAGGACTTAGAAAAATCTGATAAATATTAAAATTTCTAACTATAAGATATATTTACATTCACATCATGAAACTTACTGTTGAAGACATTAATAAGATAAAAATTAATAAGAAAAATATATGAAGAAAATATCCAAATTAATACAAAACCTCATTGATCAACTTAATCAATTTAGAATACTGAATCTAGAAATTTATAAGAGTTTTATAATAATCTTTTTTCATAAGAGTTAAGAAGATATCAGTAACTGAAAACCTATAATTCTTCTTATTCTTAAGGATTCACATATAAATATTGCTTGATATATTTTTGATAGAATCATTAAGAATATCAAATGCTATATGATGTTTCATCTTTGGGGTCAACTTTGTATATATCTAATTTTAAAATATATTTTGTATATTTAGTTCAAGCTGAAAGTCTTCATTTGATGAGGACAAGTAACATCCAAATCGAATGTCTTTTCCGTCAATATATCAACAAAGAGTGCATCATTGCAACGTAGTTGTATCAGAAAAAGAATTGTCTCGGTAGGTTTGAGGAAAGATACATTTCTACATTATTACCAACTCTGTAAAAATGCATATTCAATGTCACATCTTTGCTACATCTTGTCAAGAAAACCACTAAACACATGTCGGATGTCATTTCCACATTTTTTTTTAAATATTTCTTTGTGTGAATCTTTGAAAACTTTGTAATAATCACTTGACAAGTTCTCAATTGTCACTAACTGAAAATCACAATTCAGAAAAAGTTATTTTATCTGTAAAATTCATTTCATGATGAATGATCTATAATAAGATTGTAAATCACCAATCAATATTTAACCTTGAAAAATCTAATTATTAAATAAACATGTAGATTTATGTCAATAAAAATTGGTAATTTCATCTACTGCATTGACATTGGATCAGATTTTGATGTAGTTTTCTTCATACAGAAATAGAAAATGGAGTAATAGTTACTTCAAATATCATAACTTCTGATTTCAAATAAAAAACATCAACTTTTTATAATCGAGAGAAGAACGCATCAGCTCAATTGAGATCTATGATTTTTTAGACCAATAATAATCGAATATAAATAATATAAAATTGCAGCAATTTTTAAAAGATAAGAATAATAATAACTAAATTGAATTTTTTTGAAGATTCATCTTTCAATTGAATTTTTTACAAAATTCTAAGTTATTAAAAGATTTTGGAAACAAATCTGTTTAAGTTTATTCTTCATACTCTCTAGAATTTTTTGAATTGCGATAGATTCAAACACGATTTTTTCTGTTTTGCATAATATTTAAATACATATTTTTTAGATTTTTTAAAACTGATGAGTATATATTGAAATTGTATATTCGCAGGAATAGGAAATCTATACTTGCAACGTAAGCAAGTATCATCGATTAAAAATTTTTTAAACTTATATAATATAAAGTTGATCATGAAAATTTTGAAAATTTTCAAAAATTTTCTGATTTTTTAAAAATAAGTATATGTATAGAAAATTTATGAAAATATACCAAATCAAAGAAATATTTAATTTTCATGAAATGAAAGTAACATAGAAAAAATAAATTTCAGATATTATTTTTTAGTGAAACTACTTACTTAGTTTTTAAAATTTACTTTATTGAACTTTATTCAACTGGAGTATTTATGACATAATGCAAGCCTTGGTTAAGAATAACAGAATCAACTAAAATTTATTCATGAGACAAATTGACTACAAACAAAACATTGCAAATAATATTCTATCATATCTTACTTAAGTTTATAACATACTTTTATCATCCAAGTTTAAATCTTAAACTAATTTTTTTTTTACTAGACAGAGATCTTTCATTTCAAATTTTAAAATAAAATTTATTTTATCAACATCAGAATTTATCCTTAAAGCATGCAATTTAATTTTTCAAACAAAGTAATAATAGATCATCAAAACTAAAATATTTATTCATGATTTATCAAGTATAAAAAAAATTAATTTGATAAAATCTATGAATTTGTCGGGCCCGTGTAGCTCGGCAAATTATTAATTCTTCATAATATTTATTCAATGCATATATTTAAAAACATAGTGAATAATCTACAATATATTACAACATGTAAATTATTCACTATTTTTTTAATATATGTAATAAATGTTTCATTGATATCAATTCTACCAATTTATCATAAAAAATATTTAAAATTTTTTTTTATCTGAAATAATATTAAAAAAGACTATAACTTCACTTAAGACAAATAAAGTTAGAGATGTTTACCAAATTTTTTATAT